CGAGACGAGGCCGTGCCAAACCTGATTTCCTGATCTTAAGGAGAAGAGTACAGAGAATGGCCCTGAACAAAGGTAGCAGTGAGCTTATATGGATTTTAGCAAGTGAGAATACGTCATTATTTAGTTAACCAATTACAATTTACAACACTTCATGGTAGCCAATTATATTGTGACATAGAGACGTTAGTTTTGGCAGGAACCTATCAATTTAAAGTTCTTTGTCCTAAGAGGGTTTAAAATGACCAATCATAGACACCTAAGATACTGTGGGGCAGTGAGTTCATGACTCTTTACATGTTGGTCTTGCCTAGGCTAGATCTTGGTAGACGGGGTGGGGGAGCATTTGCCACCTAAGTTATCTATTTAGCAAACAGGCGAAGTTACAGAAGCGAGATTGGGCAGTTAGTAATTTCTGATAACCCTAAAAGGGAACTACATAAGCTTTTATCTCAATTATTCATGAAAGGTGAGTTTAAACCGAACTCATATACAATAAACTTTCTGATATCTTATAAGTTGACCTATTACAACATCACTATGGTGGGGTGATGTTGGGGCTCCAAGAATCGGAGTCTGTAGGTTTCTGGAGATTAGGCTGTTGATAAGATTGCCTTTTCCTTGTGGTCTACCAAGATATTTGTAAATACATGGAGACCCAGGTCCTGCAGGACTCTGATCTCTATGAGTTAACCATTTGTTTTTCCCCTTTCCTTTGTTCTTGGGCAGCCAGGAGGGCCTGAGGAGTATCACACACTTCCCACCTGGTGGGGAGAGGGCTGTGTCTGTGGCAGGTCAGCTTGCTTTACTCTCCCTCCTCAGGGAACACTTAGGAGTCATGAAATTGGATATCTGGCTGAGGAAATCCCTAAGCAAAGTGTTGAAGGGGTGGCCTGGTTTCTCGTCACTGCTGCTATTAAATGCAAAAAGAGAAATGACTCAAAGAATTGTTAATCAGAGAGGAAGCACAATCTAAACGTTTAGAAACTCTCAGCCTGCCCTGTTGAAAGGAGAGAGCAAAAGCCGGTTCGGGAGAGAACACATGGGTGTGGCCAGACCAGAGAAAATTAGGAAGGATGGGCCACCTCAGCAAAAGCTACCAGCTATTCCTCAAGACGTGGGTGATTAGTCAGCATCTCGGCAGAAGGCAGGACACCGTCTTATGGAAAATTCACTCCTGAAGGCATTTCGGAGATCACAGCACTGAGCTCCCATCTCTGGCCCAGAGTGCACAGGCCTGGGGGGTGGCATGATTTCTAAGGAGCCATCTGGTGCCTGCTGCCACCTCACATTGGAGGCTCTGCTCCCTGTCCTCAAGCTCCTGGCTCCTCAGCAGCCCCAGGTGCCCCACAGGCCTCAGCGTGGTGGGCACTGTGCCTCGCCAAGCTGTGGGAGCATGGCTGCCTCCACCTAGATTTCAGAGATGCCCTGGAGAGCTGCGGGCAGAAAATGACTGCGAGTGTGGGGCCACCACAGGGATCCCCCAATAGGGTGGTGCTTAGTGGAGCCATGGGGGGCATGGCTGTCCCCAAGACTCCAGACTGGTAGAGCAAGCAGTGTGCATTATAGCCCACGGGGCCGGTAGGCATGTGACACCAATGCACGAGAGCCCTTGCACGGGCTGTGCCTGGAGGAGGCATGAAAGTGGGGACACCCAGACACGTGGGGGCAGGGATGCTTGGAGCCCTAGAGGCCCAAACCCTGCCCTAGTGTGTCTGGAAGGTGGGACCTCCTGTGCCCCAGTGGCTCTGAAGGGTAGAGTGTGGAGCCAAGATTTTTCTCAGCTTGACCCCACCGTGTTGTGCCAGGTGCTGAGAATCCCCACCCCTTTCCCTAGGGCAGTGTGCTGACATGTCAGGAGCTGGGCACAGCTCCACTACTCTCCCTCCCTCCCTGAAGGAGAGGTCTCAGAGTTAATTCACCTTTTACTAAGGCCACATTGTCCAACCAGCTGGTGAGCTCCATGTGCTGGGTGGGGGGGGGGGGCGGGAGGGGGCACCCAGGGGATCATCAGTGTGAGCACTCAGGCTGGTTGCTGGGGCTCATGAATGGGCTGGAGAGTGTGATCTGCAGGCTAGTTATTGAGATCCAAGTGTTGGTGGCTGTGAGTCCTGCAACTTCTCCTTGTCCTCATGTGCCCCTGGGTGATGTGTAGATCCCCTCAGCATGCTGGGTGGGTCGAGACCTAAATGGACCTGTCAGGCAGTGCCCCAAAGCACTGGGAAGCTGTTGCTCCCTGAACTACCTCCCCTAGGAGAGAAAACAGAGGCTGAGGGCATCTCTCTCCATGCCGAGCTCTGCCACCTTGGAGCAGGGGTGACAGGTGACAGGTAAAGCAGAACTCTCCTTACCCTTTTCCATATGGCTGTTGTCACATTTTGTACAACAGTGGCATGCTACAATGTCTCATTGGGGCTCCAGAGCTCTCAGAAAGGTATTTTCATCCATGGCTGATGTTTCAATCAGTGTTTCTGTCGAAAGACAAGATCTGGGACCTCTTGCTCTGCTGTCGTACTTCCTGAACTATTTATAATGATCCCTTATAGTTCAATATTCCTAGTCCAGTATTTAGAGCCTGAACGTAGTTGGAAACATGCAACATACACACATCCTCTGTCTCATGGAAGTTAGTCAACATATTGACTTGCTAAGCCAGGTGGGGCATGTTCAACAATCAGAAAGGTTTAGACAGGATGTGGAGGCCTGGTGTAAGTTTAATATCAGAAGAATGTTTCGATTAAAATGATTTAAAACATACCAAGAGACAAAAGATGTTATTACTGTACACGACTAATTAAAAGATACTTATAGGGAGATACTCATGACTTAGGAGATTATTCTTTCATCAGCAAGAGAGAACTAGGTGAAAGGTGGGCCGAATATATCAGTCTGTCCAGCAGCTTTCTGGAACCGGCCTCCAGGTTTCTTTACCCAGGACTACAGAGTCTGATCATCTCGCATTGATGGCAGTTGTGATGCGGCCAAAGCCTATTGTTCTTACAAGGTTGTGAACTCTTTCCCGTGTATCTGTAAGGGTTTTATCTTTCTCTTGTAATCCTCCTCCCCCCAAAACTATGATTCCATCTCATTAAGATTCCATCTCATTAAGTCTCTCGGGTTTTTTCCTTAGTTATATGAGATGTAATGGTTCTAGGATAAATCAGGATAACAGGTAGTTTGGGTCGTCTCTAGAATGCCACTTCCGAAGTGTAAATAATGGGTGCCATACTGTTTTAAGTGAATTAAGTCAGATTAAGGGTGTCTTCTAATCTCTTAGGCTGTGGAACACTCACAGGAAATTAGTCTAGTTGAGGAACAAATATTGTGCACCCTATTTTGTGGAGTCTAGGTATGGATAAGTAACATAGGATTATATTGACTTGGCTGAGAGGCTGTTTATCATATCACCCCCCAAAAAGGCCTAGTCTTTGTAAAATAAATGCAACTCAGGTGTGGTGCTTATCCAGTTCATCCCTGAATGGTGGAGAGGAGGGAAGGAGGAAGAGAGAAAGAGAATCAGGGTCTGTCCCTGTTTACACAGTGAACAGATAACCTGTGTTATGTCTCCAATGTTTTAAGGTCAAGTTGGCCATAACGTGAGTCAAGACTATACCAAATGATTGTGGAAAACGTCCACACTCCACCAATGAAAAAACAAAACCAAAGAAGACTTCATAAATACTGCATTAAAGAAGAAAGAAGGGGGGGTCCTACTACCAAACCATATCTATTTAGTTATCAAAATTTTCTACATGAGTGAAAAGGAAAACTCCTCCTGAGAATCTGCTTTGAGTTATGTAATTGGGTTGACGTCTTCCGACACTCGGGACAGGAAGGTGAGACCTCATGACACTCGAGATGAAGACGAATTTATAGTCAGAAGGTATGCAGCATCAGGGGGTGCCTGGGTGGCTCAGTCAGTTCAGCGTCCGACTTCAGCTCAGGTGATGCTCTCACAGCTCTTGAGTTCGAGTCCCTCATTGGGCTGTGTGCTGACAGCTCAGAGCCTGGAGTCTGCTTCAGATTCTGCGTCTCCCTCTCTCTTTACTCCTCCCCCACTCATGCCCTGTCTTTCTCTCAAAAAATAAACATTTAAAAAAAATTTTTTTTTAAGTTATGCAGTATTAGAATGTCTATTTAGAAAGGGATACTGACAGCACACTCTCAAAAGAGGTCACTATGTTTTTACAATAAAATGTTTAGGTCCTATGAAAAGGAGTTATTTATCTTAAGGAGTAATAGCTGGAGACTCTAAATGATCATGATGTTTCTTGACAGGAGGGAAGCATAAATGTCTCTTTGTTGGTTGAGGTTTTACCTTTTAGTGTACCTAATACACATTTTTGTTGATCTTCAAGCTCTCATTCTCTCTCCTTTCTTGTTTTCATATCCTTCCAATTATCTGCCATATAGTGAAAATCTTTGTGTATTATCCCAAAATGATTTTCTCCTGCCCCATTCCAATTTTCCACCTGTGCCCAAGCCACAGCTCTTCCCACCCCTGTTATTTGCTGTATTTCCTCTGTATTTTGCCTGTGCATTTTCTTTGTAGTCTCTGTGTGTCTAGTTACATTTTGTATAACTGTATCTTCAGGTTTTGTTAACCTTTTGGTCTTTTGTGACAAATTCAAAAAACATTTTTGTTACATAAATGGGCTTTCTCACTTAAAATCTTAAAAAAAATGTTTATGTTTATTTTTGAGAGAGAGAGAGAGCATGAGCAGGGGAGGGGCAGAGAGAGAGAGAGACAGAGAATCCGAAGCAGGCTCCAGGTTCTGAGCTGTCAGCACAGAGCCCGATGCGGGGCTTGAACCCACGAACCATGAGATCATGACCTGAGCAGAAGTTGGGCGTCCAACCAACTGAGCCCCCCAGGCACCCTGGCTTTCTCACTTTTAAAGAGATTGTGTGAATCTGAAGATGAGTCACAAAGAAGTAGTATCTGGAGATTTGAAACCCATATTTATTTGTTTTTATTGACAAGGGATAATGGGAATTGGTAATAAAGCTGGAAGCGTTTATGTATATTCCCGTGTTTTAGGTGCAGAAACTTTCCTTCTGATGCTTTCCCTAGTTTCATTTCAACTCATGCTTGAGGGGTGCTTGATAATCTGAACAGATAAGTGGGGTTGGAACTGGAACCAGAATCCACCAAGACCTACAGCACTTCCATATTCCGTTACAGGCTCCAGTCTGATCGTCTGTGATTTTGCAGATGTCTCTTCTGCAAAGGCCAGACAGATTTAGACAATGGTTTTCAGCAGAAGCCATACCACTTCTTACTGCAGAAGAAGAGAGGCAGTGCAATAATTAGTTCACGAGTGGAACGTAAGACCCTGAGCCCTGTCACGTGTGAGGGTGGACGTATTCTGGCGGGACCAGTTCTGTGTGCAGAAGAGAAGCTGGACAGAGGACCTATTCAGTTGTCCCATCACCTTCACTGTCCTTCTCTACCCAACAGCCCAAATGTTAACAACCCCCTACCCCTTCTCTCATAAATTCCTGGCATTGCTAATTTTTGCTTCAGTAAGAACTTTGGTAAATGTCAAACTGGAACAAGGGGGTGGACAAAAATACATGTCAACATAAAATTGTGAGGAGGCAAAAATTAAGCAAGAGAGTTTATATGGGATCAGAGAATTGCAGTTTGGGGTACACAGATTTGAGTGGCAACTCAGAGAGTGTCCTACTAGGAAGCAAAAGTTCTTAAAGCAAAAAGGTTTTTTTTTTTGTTTTAATGTTTTTAATGTTTATTTATTTTGAGAGAGAGAGAGCATAAGAGAGTGCACAAGTGGGGTAGGGGCAGAGAGAAAGGGAGACAGAGAATCTGAAGCAGGCTCTGCACTGTCAGCACAGAGTTCGATGTGGGGCTCAAACCCACACACTGTGAGATCATGACCTGAGCCAAAATCAAGAGTCAGACGCCCCACTGACTGAGCCACCCGGGTGTGCCTAGAGCAAAAAGGTTCTCAAAGCAAAAAGGGAATGCATTATATACATTGTTCACGAAGAATTTTTGATTGGTGTTGGCAGCAGCAAAGCTGATCTTGACTGAATATGGTTGGTTGCTAAGGCCATCACTAAGCAAAATGTCGTTCTGTAGCCAGGTGTTCGGGCTGAGTCCGTGGAATATTTGCGATTGGCCCAGATCAAAAGTTTATGGCTCCGCAGGTGAGGGCGTGCATACAGCCCACCTCCTAAAGGGCCTCCCGGCTCCATTTTAAAACCCCTTAACATAAGTGACCCCATTTCATTTCCCTTTCACATATATGTTCTAAACACACCGATTCCTTCGTTGTTGCTCCTTTATATGGATCTTCGACAAATATTTGCTGAGCATCTTCCGGTCACCAGATATTTTTCTTTGCACTAGCAACAGAACAGTGACAATGGAAGAAATGTTTCTTATTCTTATAGGACTTGACTTCAGTGAATAAAATCTGACCATGCAAAATTAGGTTGCTAAGCTAATTTAGGAAAGCGGTGTTTAGAACAAAATAATACAGGAACTGACCAGATATCGTCTGGAGGATGCAGTTAATGGAACGGACAGAGAGAGGCTTTCTGAGGATGTTGCATTTGAACTGAGGTCTGAATGATGGGTGTGAAGAAGCCAAGCACGTATTCGTGTGAGGGCATGTTAAGCATACAGAATAGCTAGGTCCCTTCCTTAGTGTATTGGAAAAACAGAAAGACCTGTGTAGGTGGAGCACTATGGGAAAAAAAAAAAAAAAAAGGTTTGGTAAGAAATGAGATGAGATAAGACTGAATGAAGATCATGTGTGGTTCACAGGCCAGACTAAGCTTGCAGGTTCCTGGACCTGATGCAACAGCTGCCTTAAGAATCTGTATGCGCATTCTCCTTTTAAAATGTTGTTTTTTACTTGGGGCACCTGGGCGGCTCAGTTGGTTAAGTGTCCGACTTCAGCTCAGATTATGATCTCACAGTGTGTGAGTTCAAGCCCCTCGTCGGGCTCTGTGCTGATAGCTCAGAGCCTGGAGCCTGCTCTGCATTCTGTCTCCCTTTGTCTCTGCTCCTCCCCCACTAACACTCTGTCCCTGTCTCTCTCAAAAATAAATAAACATTAAAAAGAATTTCAAATGTTGTGTTTTTACCGTTCCCATCTCCTTCTTTCTCCTATCTGTTTAGCTCGGGGGTAAGGTGAAGTTTCAGGAAAACAGATCGTGTGGATCTGTGGTGGTACTCGTCTATTCTACACACACCAGTTGACTCTAAAAAGCTGAAAATTTGTCATCATGTCCAGGCCATTCTTTTCTCCAGATGACTCACATTAGAGCCAAGTTAATTTAATAGGAAACTCTCTAATGGTAGAGCTGATGACCTGGCAGTACAACCCTCAAAATCACTGTCCAGTAGAAAAGCCACCTAAGGAAGAGGTAGGAGAAGACAGTTAATAGCTCCAATTGGTTTCACCTCTGTATTGAGAATTTGCATAGTGTCAAGGATTTCCCACCCATGATGTAACTGAAGGTCCACTCAATAATGAATAGATCCCATCAAATAAGAATTTTTCAGTTGTCACATTACTTTTATTTATATTTGCCTATTGAGGCCATTCCTAGCTAAGAATGGTAAGACAGTATTTTTAGATTAAAATTTGGTGATAATGTACCTGTTTACTGTAGCAGAATGACATATACAATATACCCAGTGGATCGAGTAATTTAAATATGTATTTGGGAGGAGAGAATTGAAAAGAAAATCAACATTGATTTCTGATAAACATTATTTTAAAAATAGGAAGAGAAGAATGTTACCTTAACCAAATTTCAATTCATCTGAACATAAAAAATATCCATATAGCACTTCATAGTAAAATACTAGCCTTAGTCCCATGGAAATCAGGAGGGAAAGAAGAATGTTCACTGTTGATAGTGTATTGATATGTGGTAGGGGAACAGCCCCTTCCTCAGGAATGTGGTGGAGGCCTTCTCAAAACAAAGGAAGGCAACGTAGCCCAATCAACTCTTATACACGTATCCATAGCTCTGACACAACTCAGTAACTTTGCCTGTGTCCATCCAGACTGTATGTGTGTATGTGACATTCCTCACGACCCTGTGACGTAGACCGCCCAATCAGATGGCGTGTCTGTATGTTGCCATGTGCGGGAGACAAAGAAGTAGAAATTGTATAAAAGGCTACACCCCGCTGCATTCAGGGCTCAGCCTTTTGGTTCTTAGCCCACTGAGCCTGTGCTAGCACGAATAAAGCTGCTTCCTGGAAGGAAAGGCCTTGGTGTCTCATGAGAATCCTGCTACAAATAGAGTTCTGAAATTTGTGGACAACACCATCAGGGATAAGAGGTCAGTGGTGACTTGAGCATACTGGTTTTGCTCTCCTTCTATTCCTCCCCAGATGCTATTTGGAATTATGTGGGTTGCATTTTGAAAGAATCTGTAGGAGTGCCCCAAGGCACAGAGTACCATCAGTACATCAGAAACAGAAGTTCCTGGAAGATGCAGAACAAATATGATGAGATTGAGAGAACGATTTAGGCTTTTGGGCACAGTTGCAAATTAGACACTCTCAAGTGACTGCCGTCATGAAACAAATGGATCGTAGTATCTCTGAAACACCACTATTCTTGAAAGTGGTAGGCCAGTGTCCTAGACTACTCGCTCCTTCAGGAAAAACAAGTCTTTGAACTGAAGCTTGAGCAGTGGGGCTCTGCACTGGTCGGCTGGCTGGGGTGGGGTTTCTAGAAGGTCGGTACTACTATCAGCAGTGCTGACGGCGGTCCTCACTCCTGGAATAGCAGCAGTGGCAGTTTGTTAAGCCTGCAGCTCCTGCACTGAGAAGATCATGGAGGAGGTTTCATAGTGGTAGCTTTGGATGGTAACAGAGACACATTCTCAACTTAGATCCATAGGATACTGGTGGACTAAGGACAACCAATGACTTCACCATGACATGATCAGCAAGGTAAGGCACCATGAGCAAAAGTGAATGAAATAGGGGCGCCTGGGTGGCGCAGTCGGTTAAGCGTCCGACTTCAGCCAGGTCACGATCTCGCGGTCCGTGAGTTCGAGCCCCGCGTCGGGCTCTGGGCTGATGGCTCAGAGCCTGGAGCCTGTTTCCGATTCTGTGTCTCGCTCTCTCTCTGCCCCTCCCCCGTTCATGCTCTGTCTCTCTCTGTCCCAAAAATAAATAAACGTTGAAAAAAAAAATTAAAAAAATAAAAAAATAAAAAAAAAAAGTGAATGAAATAAACAACATATTTGGGCCCTCAAGGACTAAAAGTATTGGCATGACCAATGTGACAAATAATTAAACATCTATGTATCACATTGTTTAAAGAAATAAAACCTACTATCACAAAGCTGTACGAGCAACAAGGAGGTAATATAGATGATAGAATAAGTGGGCAGTTTTGAAAAATAGAAACTTCTAGAAGTGAAAAAAAACTTTTTTGAAAAAATAAATGAAGGTATTAATGACCAATTATTAGACACAAGTGACAAGAGAATTAATGAATGAATAGATACATCCAATTTTTTTACCCAGAACTTAGTACTGATACACAAGGTCTCACATTTATTAAATTAAAAGCCGAGACAAGAGAGGAATAAGAGGAGGAAGTCTTAAAGAGATTCTCTGGAAATGATGGAAAAAATACAAATCCACAGATTCAAGATAAAAAAGCACTCCTAACTGATAATATAAAAGAGATTCACATTAAGTTATAAAACAAAACAAATGGTAGATCATAAAAACGTTGGGAAAAAAAGGACAAAACACTTAAAATGAAATTAAGCCTCTGACTCTTAATTTTGGCACAGGTCATGATCTCACGGTTTGTGGTTCGAATCCCACATCAGGCTCTGTACTGACTCGGCTGAGCCTGCTTGGGATTCTTTCTCTCTCTGCTCCTCCCAGGCTCACGCTCACTCTGTTTCTTTCAAAGTAAATAAATAAAAACTTAAAATTAAAAATTAAAATAAAAAAAAATAAATGATAAGCTATGGCAGTAAAGTGAAAGTCAAAGAAGATGGACTGTGAGAAAACACCTGCTGGGATGGAATTGTGTTCTCAGACATGCTTTCTTTCCAGAATAAGGATAACATTTACAGATTCACACATAAAGACTGAAATGACTCACCACCAATATATCTACCTCTAAGGAAGTTCTAGAGGACATGCACTATGAAGAAAGAGTTTAACACAGACAGAAGGTGGCCTCAGAGCCAAGGTAGAATTCTAGTAAATACCATGAAATTGGTGACAGTAATAATAATACTCTCCAACATATGAGGTTTGAAAAAGGACAGGA